TGTGTTGTTGTTGTGTGTGTGTGTTGTTGTGTGTGTGTGTGTGTGTGTGTGTGTGTGTGTGTGTGTGTGTGTGTGTGTGTGTGTGTGCACGCACGCGCACGTGTGTGTGTATACATACATACATAAACTTATATAATTTTATATAACTTATATATAATCTGTGCGTACAAGCTTTAAGTAGTTTTATATAAATAAAACTTTAACCTCTTATAAATTTATACAAAAAAGATCTATACTATGACTTGTCTATCATCTATCAATAAAAAATATTAATAAGATGATTGAATCATTACATAGCGATATGTTTTTATGAGTTTTTCTCATCAAGTTGAATCATTACGCTTTTTACTTCCGTGTATGCTTCAAGGCCATATTCTCCAAGCTCTCTGCCGTATCCAGACTGTTTATAACCGCCAAATGGAACTTGAGGACTTAGCATATTATATGTGTTAACCCTAATAATTAACGGAACGATAAGATTGATTTCTTCGTAGAATTAATACCTTTGTTTTTTACAATATTTTCAGATGACTTACCACACGGTACCAGCACGAAGACCTTGAACTATATAATTTGCTTTATTGAGATCTTTCGTAAAGACTGCAGCAGCTAAACCATAATCAGTGTCATTAGCGCGATCAATAACTTCATCCAAATCATGAAATTTCAGAATTTGTTGAACCGGCCCAAATATCTATCAAAAGAACGTAATTTCTTTTTAATAATAATGTCATTAATATATTATCTCATCGAATAAATATGATTTTAATGCTTACCTCCTCTCGAGCTATAGTCATGTCATCTTTAACATCTGCAAATACCGTTGGAGCAACAAAATATCCTTTATCGCCAATGCGTTCACCACCTGTTACCAAGTTAGCGCCTTGATCCTTACCAGATTGTATCATATCTATAATTTTATTTAATTGCGTCTCATCGATCTAGATAAACAATGACATTAATAATAAATATTATATATAATTGTATAATATTGTATGTCGATTGACATTGTCATTTAATTTGTACTGTAATTTGAATTCGAATATACCTGTGGACCTTGCTCTACTTTCAAGTCAAACGGATCTCCTACGGTCCTAGATTTAGCGCGAAGTGCACTTTTCTCAACGAATTCGTCATAGATTTTCGATTGAACGTAAGTTCTCGATCCCGCGCAGCAGCATTGACCCTAGCAAGAATTAAAATAAATAAATAAATAAATAAATAAACTGAATAAAAAAAAGCCGCGTTAAGATAATCGCATCAAAATAGAATACCATATTAAAGAATAATCCAAAATGCGCCGTTTCTACTGCATGATTTATATCGACATCCTGCAGAATGATATTAGGAGATTTTCCACCCAATTCCAATGTGATTCTCTTTAAATTGTTCATGGCAGCGTTTTGTTTTATTAACTTGCCGACCTCGGTCGAACCAGTAAATGCAATCTTGTCGACCTTGTCGTGAGTTACTAAGGCCGCGCCAGCTTTACCATAGCCGGGAACGACATTGATTACTCCATCAGGAAATCCAGCTTCTTTAGTTAATTGTGCTAAATAAAGAGCCGTCAACGGAGTCTGTTCGGCAGGTTTTAGAATAATAACGTTTCCTAAAAAAATGAAGTAACAAATTTTGCATATTATGGAATTTACTGCTTTAAAGATTTCATTCATTATTGGTAGCAATAGATTTTATAATAAATGTCATTTGTATGCTCGCCTGTAGCTACAGCTGGAGCTATTTTCCATGCCATCATCATAAGAGGAAAGTTCCAGGGAATAATTTGACCACATACTCCTACTGGCTCGTGTCTAGTATATGCGAGGATTTTCCCATCAGCTGGTATAACTTTTCCATGCCATTTATCAGCCCATCCTGCATAATACCTCAATACTCTAGCACTAAAAGGTATGTCCATGCTATACGCGTTCGAATAAGGCTTGCCGTTATCTAAAGTTTCCAAGGACTAAAATATAATAGATAATAAATTAAATGTAAAAAATATAGACAAGCCAAATAAATACATATCATAGAAGCTTTTTTTTAGAAGCTATTTGAAAACAAATAAATGGAATTTATTTTCTAAAAAAAAGCTTCTATAATAGTTTAATATTCGCAAATTTTTTAATAACAAAGAAAAATAAATCGATATAAAACTTTGCAATTTATATTATATACATATAGTTCTAATAAATTTTTATTTGAGTTGTGGAAATATTGCGTAATGATTGCATTCGCGAGAAAGAGAAAATTAATCGTTGAGAGATAAAAATAAATCATGATTCATTAATATTAATGTTTGACTAAACATAAATAACGCTGCTGCTGTTTAGACAATTTACATTACTTATCAAATAATTATCGATAATAATTTGATGTTGAAGAACGAAAATCGAAAATAATTTGTAAATTCTTTATTCTAATTCTGATTTAATGCAAAAAGATATAAATATGAATATTATTTATATCTTTCTATTAATTTTCTATAATGTTAATATATTAAGATTAGTTTTTGAATTATGAGTATTTAAATGATTCAAAAATAGTATTCAGCAATTTTTAACAATCGTTATCATTGTTGTGCAAATATAATGTATGCAGAAAAGCATACACACTAACGAATGTTAGTAACGATAACGGTACTGTCGTATCAGTTATAAAATATATTTATCAGTTGCTTAAAGTTTGCGCGTTCAAAAATATTACGTGCTTAAAAAATTCGCTAAAATTACACAAGAAAATATACGGAGTTCGCATAACATAACTAAGGACAAATTGATGTCACTTTGAAGCGAAAATTCTAATATCAAAATGTACATTGAAGCTGTAATAATTTTTAGGTTAAAAGTATTTAAAATTAAAATTAGCAAACCGAATCATTTATGATTTTTATGTATCATATTAGGCCATTAATAATGATCTTTATTAAATTTTAAAATTATACAAACTTGTATACTCTCGTATCATATTTCAGAATACTTGTAGGTACTAAGCATATGGTATTCTTTTATAACAAATATGACTACTATTAAAAATATAAAATTGTTTGCATCATATCTTATCATATGAATTCAGTAGGTTCAATATAATATATAGAAATCTGTAGATTGTTCGTTCAGCAAAAGCTGATTGTTCCTTTTGTCAATATTAATTATTATAAAGATGACATGTGCGCAAAGATAATGAAATTTGTTTTATTGATTGTGCAAAAGCATTATTTATGCGGATAGTATTTTATTTTATCTTCGCAAATTATATTTTATTAAAAATATTATGGAAAAAAGATTATTATATGATATGTAAAACACAAAATCAAATGATCTCTTCTTTTAGAAATTTATTTCTGATTTTATATATTCTTAATAATATATTCTTCTTCTTTCTAAGTTTAATAAAATATTATAATTTGCATAAACAATGTGTTTGTGTAAATATAAAATTAATGTAAAATTTATGTAAAATTAATTTCACTATCTTCATATATATAATGATTTGATTTAAATAACAAGAAATATAGAATCTATCAAATATATATTACGTAATCTAAAATTTAATCAAAAACAATCGAATATGATTTACTCTGTTAAAATATTCACATATTGATTATAAACCGTATAATTTATCGTACATAAATTATATAACCGGTCTCGGCAAGCAGGATCTTAGTTGTTAAATCCTCTCTCTTGTATGAAATAAATTCAAATAATCATACAAACTATGTGCCACTAGATAAATCTCTTTTATTATCTCTCCTCCGCACTAGAATTATATATTGCAAAAAATATCACTTCAATCAGGGATCAAATCTGAATCGCCTGCTCTCCAAGCAGACATTTTATCCATTTGATCACTGAGGCTATGACAATATTTATCGCAATACTTAAATAAATATTATCATGTAAATACTTAGATAAAAGGAATTTAATCAATATCAAAAATATTTTATTATCGAATTATTATAAAACCACTAGGTTAAAAATCTGTTAACCTAGTGGCACATAGGTGGTGATAGGATTATTTGAATTTATTTCATACAAAAGATTTAGCAATCAAGATCATGCTTGCCGAAAAACCGGCTATGTTATTTGTTATTATGTTGTTAATACTCGACTGGTATCAATTATAAATTATATGTTAAATAAAATAAAAAATTGAAAATTTATCAAATATCAATTATATCATATTTATCGAAACACATCAGATTTGAAATTTAAAAACAAATTGAAATTTAAAAACCAAAAATACAATCCAATTATATTGACATTTTTCTTATATAATTTTCGAAGGAAATATCTCTTTGAACGCACAAATTTTAAGTGACTAATAAATTTTATAACTGACACAATGTCGTTATTGTTAATATTGTTAGTATGCGGCTCTTCTATCATATATTATATTTGCATAATAACAATATAATGATAATGATACTGTTGTTAAAAATTATAGAATATTATTTCTGAGTCGTTTAAATATAATGTACATTATATATAAATAAATATTTTATGTATATAATATCATATTACATTATATAATTCAAATATTATAATAGCCTCCATATTTTGGCATTTTTCTCCAAATAATTTCGAGAATTTATCCTTAATGTTGCCACATTTTTCACAGGACATTTTATATATAACAAAATTTAATATATTTTCAGTCAAACACATTAGTAATTTTAATTCTTCTTACATGTTTAATTTTTCTTACATGTCGTATTAGATATATTTTGTATACATTACCGCAATATATTGCCAATCGCGTTCTATCAAATTCGCCAGTCTGTTCAGGAGAATCCCCCTTTGGGAGGCGTCCATGGTTCTCCATGGTGAATTCCTTTTGAAAGCCTTATTAGCAGCCTGCACTGCAAAATCGATATCTGCGGTGTCGCCTTCTTGTACTTCGGCGATCACCTCTCCTGTGGCGGGATTGACGGTAGGAAATGTCTTCTGGCTCTTCGACTTGTGCCATTCATTATTAACGAATATCTACAATAAAAAATATATTTATGTATGTGCATAAATATATGTTTATGTTTCTCTTGCAGCCGTAATACGGGAAAACTGCCGCATACATATCATCTACATTACAAAGCGAAAATGTTTTCTTTGTTTTTTTCCCCGATAAGAACATGACATAAGCAGAATATAGTGAAATTCATAAACCGTTTTAATGCCTCATGCTAATAATAGCTCTATAATTGATAAAATTATCTTAAGTATGTACTAAAGATAATCTTAAATGCACATAGAAATTGAGTAGTCATGATGCATTCCTTTATCTCTATCTTATTAATTTAGTTGATATAGATTATTGAATTAATGGATATCATCATGGATTACATAAGTCGGTATTACATATTATTTATAGCTTTAATTGGTTTGCAATATCGCTACTTCTCGAGTTAACTGAATGCGGTGCATTACGGATCGAATATTTCGATTTTGGATTCTGATTACATGATCGCATGCACTGCGAAACGAAATAAGACTGGATCTTTCCAAACAAATTATCTGAAATTACATCATTCGTTGTATAAGAGAAATTACAATTTGTTTAATCAATGTATAAAGGATATCTCAGATTGATCTTTTTCTTCTCTTTATTTCTCAGGTTCAAAGAAATAAATAAAGAACACAGAATCAATTCGTTCATTATATATTGCTTTCTAGATTTTCATCGTTGAAAAATAGCAAAAATAGCAACAGATATCACAATCCATTTCCCCCACAATGAGAATAAATTGATGACGATTAGATAATAATTTGAATTATTATTGGTATTGAAGGCTGATTGAAAAGAACGGGATGCCGTTTAATTCTAATGGGAATTTGATAGAGAGAGAGAGAAAGAGAGAGAGAGAGAGAGAGAGAGAAAACTCGAAAAAATATAAATATTTATAAAATAAAATATTTATAACCACATTCGCATCAGAGATTTTGAATATAAAAAATACGATACGTTTCTATTTATAATCTTTCATGTTATTTTAATGTGTGCATTTTCTGAATTTTTAATTTCTTTTTTATACTATGAAAAATTAAACAAAATTATAACTAGAAATATAGGTAATCTAAGATCAAACATAATTATTTAATAAATAATCAAAGTTCGGACTTGTGACAGGCGTTAAAAATATTTCGTTATAACAGACCGAAAAAATTACTGATAATAATATTTAATCTCGACAAACAGAAATTAGGCAGTATTTTAATTTAGAATTCTAGATTATTAGGCATCTAAAATTACTACTATTAATATTGAAGCAAAGAGAAAAATATATACTATTTAGAAATTATTTGTTCCATTCGACTAATTTGTAGCAATATCCTTGTGCGAATAAATGTAGCATTCTCTTTCCGTTTTTGTCTCGATATGAGCAAGTCAGCAAGAAACAAATCGTTAAGATGTCAATGACCGCACATCGTAAATCAAAGCGTAAAAACATGAATCATAAAGACACATCTCGTTAAATTTTATAGAGCTTAGTGTACGGCATAACTGCAGATCTCTTTATGACTGTCGCATAAAAAAACAAATGTAAATGCATTGTTATGGAAGCGCATTGTTATGGATTTAATCAGGTATTTTACATAGATTACGTATACATGTATCGCAAAATAAGAATCTAATTAAAAATGCCGGTCTCTTGTTTTTTAAGTATTTACTGTTGTAGCAAAAAAATATATGTATGTATATGAAAGGTTTATAATTTATCGAAAAGAATATACTTCGTATATAACATGAAATAGATTTAGCATAATCGAAACATTATTGCTATTGAATATTTTTTATTCTAAATTTCTTGTTTTCAATTTTATTTCTTCTTCATGTTAAAAATATCATGTATATTAAATTAAATATTTCAATCATCAATCAATTTCAATAATCAATCATGTATATTAAAAATATTTTAAAAATTTTAAATAAAATAATAATCGAGATATATATATATATATATATATATATATATACGATTTGCTTGAGTATTAGTATTACAATATATAATTTTTTTCTATAAGAGACAACACGAGTATAAAAATAAAATAATTTTGTTTTTATTAAACAATTCAGATCTGGACTCAGATACTCAGATGCAAAATGGCAAAACAATCTATAAAATTGTCACGTTTTTTGCCAGTATTTTAATGTATGATACATACAACATATCTTATCGACATATCTTATCATATCAACATTTGAAATATATTTGAGAGATGAATTAGATTGAAAGACATAAATTAAAATTATATGTCATTTTGATTACAAATCAAACTATATAAAAATACATTTTAAAATCTGACTTAGTCCCATATGTTTTCATCATTTATGTTACCATGAATCAGCTTAAAAATGTATGCCATATATCAAAACATTAATAAAGGCAATTGTGTAAGCTGTTTTACATTTTTTTGCATATTTGAATACAAATCTTCGAACTTGGAAATTACTTAATTTTCCAACTCGCTTTAGTTTTTATAGAAAAAAATTGCGTATTGCACAACTCGAATATAGAGATTAAATATATATTTAAAACATATATTTTGTCTTAAAATTATTAATTATGTACATATGATGTACATGTATACACAATTAATTATTTTTACAGTTTTCTCATGCATATTTAACTTTTTGTTTCTTTTCTTCAGTAACTCAAAATCTTTCTATGATTAGTTATTCTTATTTCTTAATTATTATAAAATATTTTCTTTCGTAAAAATATTAAAATATATATTTTGCTCATATTTTAATTCCATTATAATCCAAATTATTCAATATTTCAAACAGTATAAATATAAGAATATAAATATATTCCTTTTAAACTTTGATAATTTGCTATTATTTATGTAGCTGATAATAAATTCTTTAAAAAATTCTTTAAATTCTTTAAACTCATATTAACTTATCAACTGAATTAATTCAGCCGATGCAGAATTGCTAATTTTTTAACTTGTTGCTAAAAGACAAGTCATTAGTCAGCAAAAATCAAGTGCGCTAAACCAAGTGTGATAAACTTGACATCAACAGAACTTAATCTAAATATAACGATGATAATCATCACATGATAGCGGAGTGTCAACAAGAGCTCTATTCTTGATTCGAAAATTTTCTACTGCAAGAAATCATCACACATGATTGCTTTTTGGAATACCAAACGCGAAGGAGAAAAGGACGAAGCTTCCCTTTCAAGCAGGTGTTTATTAATTTCGGGAGAGTTCATACCGGTATACTTCTAAAAATACCCCTTGTCCTCTCTTTATTCTTTTCCAAAGATGTTCGTCCAACGAACTTTCGCTATCCTTTCCTCTTTTTAACTTTTAACTCCTTTTATTTTTCGGCGAGATTCGGCAGACTCCTTCTCTTTCTCGGTCGTATTACGGTCGTATTAAATGTAATGGAATTTTTCACACTTACGCCTGTGTAAAGAATCGGCGGGTTCGTTTCCGGTGCAGGCAGAGGCGCAGATGAGTAGCGTCGCAGATGTTGGAATCTTCTTAACACGCGCAACATATCGAACCACGAACGAAACAAAGACAAAAAACCTTCCTCGCTCTTCGAAGCGGAGATACTGATCCCTGTAAAGTCAGCCGGGATCACTCTTCCTCCTTTCACTCCGCGAAGGCGTGTAATCTAGTGACGAGCGAATCACGAGTCCCGGCTGAACGCGCGTGCTCTAATTCCTTATTTTATGTGTACAATTGACTAGTGACATTTTAAAAACCGCGCCTTATTCTATCGTTTATATCTACAGTTTTGAAAATGCAGCTCGGCGATGAAACGAAAAACGATTAGTTTTTCAAATGATAATTCATAGCTAACACTAATTCAAATTGTTCGCAATATCGATGATTTATTTCTAAGAAATACAAGGAAGAATATAAGGAAGATCCTGAAAAGTTGAGAAGCAATTTCAAGACAATTGTACAGATCAAAATTTATACATTCTCAATACAAATAGTTATTTGTAATATTAATACACGAGTTATATAAAATGTTTATAGCATTGTATTAAATAAGAAAGCAGTCTTTAAATTTAAAAAAATATTTCGATCAATGTTTATGATATACTTAAATACTTGTTGCATGAAAATTTAGCAAGATAAAATTTAAAAAATTTATATATACGTGTATATATATATATAATTTTTTTTTTTTAAATATATATTTAATATGCACTAATAAAAGCCTCTGTAGTTTTCATTAAATAGATAGTTACAAGTGTTTATTTGAAATTGTTGATATTAATTAAGATAAAAACAGATAAATGTAATTATGAATGTAACAAATAGAATATAGAAAGTATCGTCTTGATAAAAGCAGCAGTTTGTTTAGTTTAAACTCACTTCTAAATTGGCCATAAGTTTTATCTTGTGTATATTTAATTCTATACATTCGATTTCTATACACTCGAAAATAAAAAGAAGAAAACAAAATCAACATATCAATTCGAATAATTAGTATATCGTTAATTATTCATCTATTTTCATAACTTAGAATAATAATTGTAGCCGTACATACACGTACAGCGAGTTTATTCGCATATAAAAATATCTCGTTCAAATCTGAACGGATCGATGTGTATTTTAAATCTTTATCTCCTGATTTTCGTACTTATGAATATTTTATTATTTTTTATTTTAAATTTATAAACTAAATCAAACATGAGTAGTACTTCTTCTTCTTTTAGGCTCGCGATTGTCTTCCGTATGATTTCTTTTCTGCGATGTTCTCGAATTTGTAGGCGAATCGTGCGAATCCCCATTTTGTAGAACTTCCATTGTATCTACTTCATCTTCTGGTAAATTAACTTCTGGTAAATTAATATTGCTAAATGTAAACAGTTCTATATCTTGAGACATAACTTTTGCACGTAATTCACGTGCTTCTTTCTTCAGTAATCGCTTGTCCCTTTGTTTGCTCTTGTTCTTTTTCTTCTGCACATTATTACTATGTGCAACTTCTTTATTTTCTTCTTCTTCCTTTTCTTCTTTTTCTTTTTCTCTTTCTTCTTCTTCTTCCTCCGAATTGTTCACTTTTCCGTTTTGAGAACCAACATTGCTCTGTTTGCCATTACTTTGCGAAGCAGTATCAGCAGAATTGTTTTTTAGTTTAGTATTTTTTTTGATTGATGGTCTGACGATAAAAAATTATACCAAATATAAAACTAAACTAGAAAAATTGATATAATCAAATATTATGTTATTTTTACACTTACTCTTTAAGTGGTATCCCAATTGTTACTGCCAGCTTATTATATGCACTTTTTGCATCTCCAGAAAAAGCATTTTGATTTTTGTATTCTATTAATGCCACTTTAACAGTTTGCCAATCCCACGCTTGTGGCAAATGACGGGCGTGAACAACACGCAATAGCGTTAAAAGATGACCGATAAATTTCTGTAGAACTTTCTTCTGTGCATTAACGTCATTACATGAACTAGATTGTCCATTGTTGCTTGTATGTAGATCACATGTCTCCTTAAATGTGTCTACGATATTTTTACAAAGCGTCGTTTCTAATTTCATTCTTACGTCGGCATATTTTACATCCGTGCTCAGCAATCGGTTATTGTTATAGAAAATTAACAATAATTCGAGTGCCTGATTCCTACGAAAGTATCGAATACTGCTATCAAAAGCAAAGTCCACCTAGGCAGTTAAATAATGTTTTATAATATTTATTTTGCAATGTATATTTTGTATAGATATAAAAAAATATTGCAAATACATACCAGCAGAAGAGCTAGCTGCCAATTACCTTCCCAACACAATTGCAATACGCCCTTAAATAATATAGATGAAAGAACACAATCTCTTTTTTTGAAAAACGCAGTTAAATTTTCACCATATATCTCCACAATGCTTTTAGTGGACAAATTAGCTTGTTGCGCACATCTTACAAGGAAGGTACAACACTCTGCTAATTTACCATTGAGTTCTTGACAGACCGAAGCGGAACGCTCTCCTTTTTCAATTAGAGCCTTAAAGAGACATTATATCATGCAAACGTTCAATGCAAACGTGCGTTTAATTGCTTTAAATAATTACCTTTAACACCATGATTAACAAAGTATCGTCAACATCCGTTGTATCTTTAAACTTTTTCACTGTTGATAACTTTTTCAGGCAAGCCCGAATTCTATGCGCGAGTGGTTCCTGATGCGGGTCCTTTATACAGAATTCTAGCAGAGCGAAAAGTGGCACAATCATGTCTAAAGTAATCGCCATAGACGGACAAATATCTAAATAAATGGATAATAAGTCGATAACACGTGCTCTGAAATGCATTAACGCTTGGCTCGTTTTCCCTTGCTTTTTAGTACGAGCTTGACGGTTCTCTCGTAAAATTTTAAAAGCTGCTGCTAACGATTCATCCAATCGCTTTCCTTCCTCTTCACCTATCTGATCTACGTCGATGTCTTCGTCATCAGTTTGCGTTGCAGCATCACCTAAAGCTTGACGTACTGCCATTCTTAATTTATCGGTCACTGTTTCATCCTCGTTCTCACTTTCATCCTCATCTTCGTTTTCATTTGCGTCAGACTCGGATTCACTTTTTGATAAAATTTCATTGTCCGAAACACTATCCTCCTCCTCTTCATCCTCATCACTTTCTGATTCACTTTCTATACCGGAGGAATCTTCATCGTCATTTTGTTTCGTGGTAAGTGTTTTTTGGTCATTTTTTATATCTAATATCTGAAACAAAATGTCACAGATATAATTTATTATTGAACTCTTCACATTTTTAAATTAATAAATTAATTTTTCAGTTTGAAAAACAATGTCTTCGTAAGGATTATATAAGTGAAAACTTACGGCTAATATCTGATAAACTGCGGGTAAAGTCAGGTATGGGCAAATATGTGGAAACACACAACCAACTAATGAGCGGAACAAATGATCATTCTTAGACAAAAGAGATAACAAAAGATCTACTACTACTTCAACCCACTGTGGTTCGTCTTCCGTAACTGCATTGAGTTTTTTATGTTCCTTGGATTTTTTACTTAATCTCTCGTAACAACATTGAAGTTCATTAATCGACATGATTGCCGTTTCAGGATCCGAGAATAATTGCAAACCCATATGTAAATTCATCGTATGAAATATCGGCAAGGCTTCCGCATTTTTTGTATTTTTCTCTAATTTTTCAATCAAGTCCACTACTTTTTCCAAGCATCGGACGCTGCATCGCTTAATGGCGATTTTAATCGTATCGCCTTGGATTGCAATTTCGAGTTTAAATCGTGAACCAGAGCGCTTAACAAGTTTCGCACATTATCCAACTTTGGGAGTTTATGATCCAGAGCACGATAAAAAGAATCTTTGAATTGCGCTGAAAATAATTGAATTTATTTCAGCATCATATTTCAGTAACATGATTTTAAAAAAAGACATACATACATATACAGTATACTTACGTGCTAATTCTATTCCAACAGTTGATATTTCACACAAACCATGATTGAATAAGAATATCAGTTGTTCAAGTCTCCAATCCTGATCTGAGAATGTCTCTTGACGACCCATTAATCTAAATATTAATAAAAAAAATATATTTATTGCAATATTCTACAAACTAAGTATTACATCAATCTATGTCAATCATAAAAACATCTTTTTTTACGCTTAATTTTATTTACTTTGTTAATAGCTGCGCTGCGTAAGTTCGCTCAGCATTCGTCCATGACTCTGCCTTTGTATCTTCTTTTTCTTTAATCATCTTATTCTCTACAATATCTCTATACAATTGGCACAATTTTTTAATACCGTCTATCCTCAAATTTCCTGTAATTATTTGGATCATCTTAACACCCGTCTTCTTTTCTATCATTAAGTCTCCAGGATGTAACATGAGCTTCTTCAATATACTCAACTGCGTCTTTGTTTTCATATTTTCGTCACTTGTAGCAGATGCCACCATGCGTAAAACTTCTCTGAATGCTATTAAAACCTCATCATTGTTATTCCTTTTACAATTAGAAAATCTTTTCAACATGTGTTGCAGAAGATTTGGAGATAATAACAATGGAATTACAGATTTATCTGTAATATTAGAAAGTATCAATTGTAAAATCTCTACAGCGATATATTCATCACTCTTTGATGGTTTTATAAATCTCTGCTCAATGCCATTCCAGAAGTCAATCACAAGTTCAGTCGCTATCAGTTTTTCACAAAATAGCTTAAACACTGGATGACGATAAGAAACGATTCTGGGTAGGGCCTGTATAATAATAAAAACAAAATTTGTGTCATTCTGTATATGATATAAAAAGTTTTAAAGAAAAAAATAATTTAAGTCCTATTAAATAACATACTGTTAACAATTTAACAATATCTTCCATAGACTTTTTGGTGACAATTTCTTTTACACCTAAGTGCTCCTTTAAAAACTTATGATTAACTAGCGATGGATGTTTATCTCTAATAATAAGCAATGCATAGAACGTATCCAGAGTCTGTTCTGACCATGGCTTGCCAATTTCCTTTTCAACAATCGGCCAAATGTTTTTCATAGGTTCAATATCAAGTTGAATAATAAGTTCGCTGAGAAAAATAACAGAGATAAATGACAAATAACTACGTTGTTTGCCAGCATTCAATAGAATCTCTGTAACCTGTTGTTGTATCTCAACACTATTTTGAACAAGTAACTTGGATCTTATCAATGCACCACACAGCAATATGCGTCCCATGTATACATCGGCGTTTTCCTACAAGAACAAAAATTTAAGTAATATATTAAGTGATATCATATTAAGCATTATTTTTATAGTAATTCTAAATAAAATAAAAACAGAATTGTAGATAAGACTTACACTTTTAGGATTACTGCTAGCTGGATGTAATTGAGTATTCATTATGGATAAGAGTTTTTCTATTGATGTTTCAGAATGCATCATCAGAAAGACTGTCAAGGTGCTATAAACACCTCTTCTAGTAAACGTCATTGAAGATCCCAGACTGCGAACAAGTCTGACTAATGCATAATTCAACTCTTCGCCATCCTGATTCTGTAAGAATAAATCAACAGTTTAATACTTCACAACATGGCTCATATTCTGAATTCTCTCTTATCGATGAAAGTACTAAAGTAAATCTGAAGTAGCTTATAAGCTTTCTGATTGACTTGTAAGCCGCTTTTATCGATAAAAAAGGATTTAGAATAGACCTAATATGAATTAAATCTCCTCTCTTTCTGTCTCTCTTTTTGTCCTCTTTTTCTCTTGTTCATTATCGAACACGAGTTAGGGTAGCTCAGGTAGCACATGGGAATTAACACAATTAACTTACTGTATTATGTTGACGAAGATAATTCAGCAGCGCGACTCCGGCGTTTAGTCTCACAGAATCATTGTTGTCCTTCAGTTTATTAAAATTGTCCAGTATGGTGGAATTCATTTTGTTGGTCTTTTGCTGTTCAAGATCACCCGAACCTAACTCTGCCATGTGGGTATCGCGCGCTATCGCAGTCATCTTGATTCACCCTCGAAGCTCGAGTTCGAGCCTCGAGATTCGAGACGGTATAAGACTACGTTAGTCAAAAGTGCGTTCGATTGTGTAAAATTGAATTGAGGATGGAATAAAAAATAAAGTGATTTTGATTAAATTCCGATCAACATCAATCAATTTATAATTCAATCGACAGAAACTAAAACTTAAATCAAAACTTCTAACTCATTATTCGCAACAGAATCTTTCTTTCAGAACATTAAACGATAAAATATTAATAATTTTGCTTATTAATAAAATGTTATTACTTTACTAATTTAATTAGCGATTAATACAGTTATGGCAGGATCGCTTAAATCTTTAATTATATAATTCATTGTAGTCCAATTTTTTTCTACATTAAATAAGAAGATACTAATTTCATTCATTAACAAAATGATAGAATTATTTCGTTCGATATTTAAATAATTTAGAAGAATCGCTTCTTGTCTCTAGAGTCTAATTTTTTTTCTACATATTGAAATTAATAGATTTATTTATTAATTAAAAAAATAAATAAATTTATTAATTAAACGGTTTATTTAAAAAATGATCAAGGATTAATTGACGTTTATTTAATTTACGTTTATTAGAAATCGCCCAAAGGAAAGAGTAGGCCAGGAAGAAGTAGTGTTTGTAAAAAAAATCGCGCGATAGGTTTGAAAATCACGTGTATCTGCACGTTAATAGCCCGTAATAAATCGGGAAATCACGTCTGAACAGATTCGAAAAAAGAAATCGGAAAGTGTTGTGTGCTAATGCGTAAACGAATTTATCTAATAAACTCATATAAATATCGTGACGCCAAATGCAATATCAGAGAATAAATCGTAAATAACAAAATTTACATCCAGAAAAAATGCAATATAATTCTCGCTCTCTGGAGGTCTTGGTCTTGGATAAGATCTCCATAAATATATAAATATATATGTGATATATAATAGAAATAAGAAACAATATTCTTCGGAGGTGCGTGCACATCTTTTCACATGGAAAAACGACTCTGGAAAAAATACTGCCATCGGAAGAGACGTTCAAATGACAAGCTCGCGTCCCATTGGCGTGCGTCGGCGGTAGCCGGCCAATCACGGTTCGAGTCGTGCCGCTGCGCTCTTCACGCCTGACGCGCAATTGGCCAATTCGACGTGCGGATCATTACGCGCTTGAGCGAAGTGCTCCGAGGAACGAGCCTCGAGCTTTTCGGCCCCGAACTGTGATTCGTATCGCGTGTCACTTTGGGACGTGATCACCGATTCAACCGGCTAAATTCGCCAGTGTATCCGGCTGCCGCGCGTTTCACTCCCGCGATTTCACATCGATAAATTATTGAGTGTCCGAGCGCGCGATGGTGTTGCGCGCACGGTGACTGGTTCGACTCACGCGGTCCCGGTCAGTTCCGTGCATTCAATATGGCTGGTCGAGGTGCTTACGACGATTCAAGGCAAGTATCGGCCGCGTTTGCGGCTGTGTCACGCGGCCGGAGGGGCCTCGGATGATCCCGACCGCGGGACGCGCGGCCGCCACGTCCGATCGACGAGGACGCGCGCGTCCCACGCGCGTATATCTCCCGGTTTTAAGGTTAAGTGAGTTACGCGGAGTGCAGACGCAACACCTTGCGGGGCGCCTTGACACGCGGCTTTATTTTGGCCGGTTCGGTCCGCCCGCGACCCGGCCCGAGTCCGGGTACGCGGCCGCGCGACGTTACGCGATGCGACGCGACGCCGGGAAGCGGCTCCGGGATCGGGAATGGTGCACGTGCGATGCATGCCGCGAGAGGAAAAGAGAGGGAATGCGTGAGAAAGAGAGAGAGAGTGAGAGAGAGCGAGAGGGAGGTTCGCGACGGTATTTACGATTTTTTTTCTGTAAAGCAACCGGGTGCGATCGGTGGAAATTATATTTTCCGTTTCTATCGCGTTCGCGTGTTCAATCTATCGAGTTGCATGTCGTTGTACGTTTCTGATATATGATGATCTCCTCACTTCACATTTACACAACATCCGCGTGCACGCGCGCGCGCGCGCGCGTATAATATACATGCATGCGTAGCAGGTACACGTTGAATTTTTTGACTTGGAAAATGCATTCGACTGAAACATGTAGTAATGAGAATATTCGTGATTTCTTCATAAACATGTGATTTTATATAAAAGAGAGCTGTATGTAATTGATGTTAATGGATTTATCTGGATAAGTTGCATAGGATACGTTTGTAGTAATATTAATTTTAATTTCAATGTTATTGAGAAAAGAAATAATTGTTTATAAGTTAATATACTGTTAATAGCTGAAGACATGATACAAGAACATTTATGACTGCTTTACATGTAAATGTAATCATCTATGAATGTATGCGCATGAAGCAAAATATGAAATACCTTGATTAAAATAATTTTAATTTTTTTTTAAATATATTTCATGTATGTAAAGTATAAATATTTTTTTTATTTGTTTAGAGATTATCCCACTCATCGGAGTAGAAAACCGTTGCCTACAGAACCTCCATATACCGCATATGTAGGAAATTTGCCGAATGGAATTGTACAAGGCGACGTTGACAAAATTTTTGAGAAGCTCAATGTCAAAGTCATCAGACTGGTCAAAGACAGGGACACTGACAAGTATGTATTATAGAAGTAGTAGTAATATATTAATATCAATATCAAATATGTATTAATTAACTTTTTTTTATGGAACAATGGAAATTCTTGAAACGCAGACTACCATTTATTTTGTTCCCTCGTCTGTCCGCAATCTTTAACTTTGCATTTTTTAATCTTTTACATCTAATATTGTATGTTTACTTATAACATAGGCTCATTATATAACATTCCAGTCATTGTTATTACAATTTTAAATATTTTAACATCTTTATCCGAAATGTTGACTTGTTTTATTAATGACTGCATTTTTTAATTTTTATTTTATCATTTGATTTGATTTTTTTGCTATTTGAGCAAAAAATTCCTTCCACCCGGCTTTATTTTAATGAACAATTTAGAAATGGAAATTTGAATTTTTGATCTTTATATAAGAGATCAATGAAACAGAGTGAAATTTTAACATTTGACATTTTATTGAATATAATTTTTATTAGTGAGTGACTTAAATTTGACATATCAATTGTTTTTGATTTTGACAAATATAACAGTGCACTCTCATTCATACTAGACTTGTATTAATCTTTTTTTTACAATACTTTTTTTTTATATTGTATTGATTATCATAATCATTTTATACTCCTTTGCTTACAAATCAATCTTTTGTAACATCGAAAACTTGGAATTGAACCTAAGACCTACTGATTACAAGCTGATTGTTTTTACACAAAACCATGTGTTTTGCAAATTGAGAATATTGCATTACAAAGATCAAGATCAAGTCTCAGATCCACTATTACTTAATTCCTTCATAGAACTGTCTGTTTAATCAGTTCTTTTTTTTTATTATTTATAGATTCAAAGGTTTCTGCTATGTCGAGTTTGAGGATTTGTCTGATTTGGAAGCAGCATTGGAAATGGATGGGGCGGTAGAAGTAGATAAATGTTTGATCAAGATCGATGTAGCAGAAGGAAAAAGAAACGACCGCGGCGGCGGCTTCGATAGGAGAGGACGCGGTGGCACTGGCGGTAGTGGAAGCGGGTACAAAGGACGAGATTCTGGCCGTAGTGGATACGGCGATGATTTCGATAGTAAATCTTCATATTCAAGTAAACATTATGCGCTTTCATAAACATAATAGAATGCAATGGGAATCTTGTTTACCAACACGTTACTAATGCTTACAATGCCAAACTAACTTTTTATTTCTGTACTGCACAAAACTTAATATATCCAAAATTTTGATGACTAATGCTTGTCCCATTGCATAGGATACAGCGATAGAGGCCCTCATGGAGGTAGTAGGCAAGGCAACGATAGATGGGATTCTAGAAGTAATAGAGGCAATTATGGTCAATTCAATGATGACACAGGTGGAAACCGCGATTGGTCACGAAGTACATCTAGCAGATCATACAGTAATAAACCTCCACTTCGAGGAAGTGGTTCAGATCGGAAACCCTTTCAGGATGATCCTTATCAGAAAGATGCACCTCCTCCAGGTATATACATAATAATATGTATATCTTTTTTGATAAAAGATTTTCACAATCAATATTATAGTATCATGGTTCAATAAGAATTTTTAACAAATTTAGAATATTTTTGGAATTTTTATCTATTATCTCTAGGATATTATTGTTTATTAATATTGAAACACCATTAGTTATTTAATGAAATAAAGAATCATGCTGAATAATTTTGGATTTATATTTTTTTAAATTCATCTTTCTTATTGCAGAAAAATAAAATTTTTCTGTTAAATTATTGGCGTATATATAAAATGAGACAAGACTAGAAATTTAATTTTGACAATTGCTTTAAATTATCCGGTATTTTAAACGCATGCATTAAGTTAATATATAACATTCAATATTTTTTAGACACCACTGGAAGGAAACGTTTGGAACTTAAACCAAGGACTGTTAAAGAGCCTGTGAATTCTATGGCTGAATCGAGTAAAACAAGTTCCATTTATGGAGGTGCAAAGCCTCGAGAAGAAAAATTAAAAATGCTGGACAAGTAAAACTAACGATATTATCAATAGTCTCTGATTTTCCCGTAGAAATCGGGGAAAGAAACCATTGTTGACAAAATTTTAAAATCAATCCCAGATTCCCTCATAGTTTGAAATTAAATCTAGTGGTGATTCTTCGAACATTTACTATCAGAAAATTGCAATATCCTTTTTTAACTCTTACAAGGGATGTTACCCGCAAAGAAAGATATACATATATAAATATATATGTATATATATATATATATATATGTGTGTGTGTATGTATATGTATATCTTATATTTATAATTATAATAGATATGTATACATGCTACAGACGAATCTATTACAATTTTCCTAAGTTTTTGCGATTTTTAATCAAGATAAATATTTTTCTTCGAATGCTTTTGTATTTAAATTAACTTCTTGATTCTCAATGAAAAGCTAGAGTACTTGTAACTACGATATACATAAAAAGAAAAAAAGAAAAAACCGTGCACGATGCATGCTCTGATAGCGCGATAGTGATAGCGCGATTTATATACATAAACGATGATTATTAAGATGCCACATAAGTTGAGTACATTTTAATACTCGTGTCAATTTAATGTTGGGTTTCGTGTCTAATAACATTGAGAGTATGTGTACAAACTATCACAAATATAAAAATGTCACAGCATGTATATTTCATCTTACGCTAGTATTTCTTATCTGTACTTGAGACTAGACCGTTTAAAGAAGTACAAAGAAAAGTTGCGACTATACCAAGTTTCGTTTCCTTCCATAGAATTCTTGCGTTTCACGATACAACGCTGATCATTGTGCATCAACTGTTTGTTAAGACATATGTTCGTTAAGATGATAGTATATAATTGTTTAATATTGCTAAATAACTGTCCTTTTTTTTTTTCAATCGATTCGAGCGATGACGGATTCGCGAAGTGTAACGCGCGAACGTGATTCCACAAATTTCTACATACGGGAAGCGATACAAAGGAGAGGCGCCGATTATTATATATTAATAATTATGTAATGAATTAACCAATGCTAACAGTGACGTTGCGGAATTGCGTGAATAGCAAGGAACGTCGTGAGAATAGCAAATAAAACGAAAATTCGGAATGATAATAAAATATTATGTAAAACAATGCTTGTATATGATACTATTTCCTGAATAAAGTAGCTGTTTGCCTCGTATCTATGCAGTGTATTAGAGAGTAAGTAATGTCTTTCACGCGCGATCAAGTAAGCGAAATGTAATTTGTAATTGTGAATAATATGAAATGTGTGTTCATAATATATTTTGTAAGCGCGCCCGCCTCCTCCCCTTTCCCTCTTTCTCTCATACTTAATATTAGAAATTTAGAGAAGAAATGCTGTTTATAAAAAAAAGATTTTAGTTTAAATAAACAATCGCGGATGTACATGTGAAGGGAACGAGGAGTTTATTACTTAAATATATGTATCGTAATTGATAACTTCCATTGATGCAAATACGGGGGGGGGGGAGAGTAAATATGTCATCATAAAATTATCCCTTTTGAAAGATATAAATTCAAGATCCGACTTGCCGAACTAACAGGGAATGGGGAATGTCGTTCAGCTGTTTAGTTGCCACGCCTAAACTTAACTCCGATTCATCGTATTCTCTCCCCCCTCTCTGCCCCGCCATTCCACCCCGATCCTGTACAGTCTGTGCTCTGTGCCCTTTCGTCTTCGAGTTTCGTCGTGCCCGGCGGTGTGGTGCGACCTTGCAACGCTTTCGGCGGCCACCGCAGGCGTAATCAGACTCCTAAGAAGAAGGCCTAGCGGACGATTGTGCGAGCGATGCATGATCGAAGTGAAATACGTCCACGAACGGAATAATTTGTTCTGCCATTCATCGCGCGTCTGCTGTGACGCGGTTGCGGTACGATCGTCGGTATCCGGCGTCGGTCTTGAAGGGAAAACGAGAAAGAGAATTCAGCCGAATTAGCTGCGACCTTCGACAAGAAAATACAGCGCGAGTGGATCACACGGACGCACGCATCCGACATGTCGAGCGAAAGCGTGAAAACCGTAAGTGCCGTGTGAGCCTACGTGTCACGCGCACATTGCCTACGTGTGTTAGAATCCGAATGTTTAATATGCGTCAGCTTAATGCCCATTTCAATGTGGATTAATTATAAACTCGGTTTGATTTACTTTTCATCTTTTTCTCATGATTCTTTTGAAAATCAGAGGAAGAGACAGAGTTAATTAAGCTGAGATTGAAGTTAATTTTGCACTGGCGGAAATGGACGTAAGAATGACTTGGTTGAGCAAACTCTAATTTGTTAAATTAATATCAGAATTCTTTTGTTAACATGAGTAGATTATTGATTTTTTGTTGTTGGAATAAATAAGAAAATAAATTGTTAAAGATTTTGCTTTAAGAAACTTTGCTAAATTTAATCAGAGAATTACAGTTTTCTT